AAAAAAAAAAAAAAAAGAGGAAGGGTGATTGCTGCCTCTACTAGCTTGAGTTGTGACAAGTACAACAGATGAGGTTGGTGCCCATCCAACAGTGAAGCAAACATTCTGGACTTAATCATCAGTATTTGGTGCCCCCTGGGCATTTCTTGTCAGCCTGAGAGTCCAGTCTCCTTCTTACCCCAAGGCTGAGTCTGAGCCCTATACCCACACTATTCAGTGCCCCTCCTAGTAGGTCCCTCTCCTCTCTGGTCCCTATCCCATCCTACATATAGGGCCTGCCCACAACCCCTTTTGGTGCCATCCCTGGGAGGACCCTGCCATGCCAGCCCTGCCATCTGAATCAGTTTGAGCCATGTCTGCCACCACCCACTGCCAGCTGCCTAGTGCCCTTTCAGGAGATGCTGTGGGAAACTGAGGAAAGAAGGAGTAGTCCTGGGTGCAGGGAGGAAACAAGAAGGCCAGCCTTTTCTCTAAAGAACAGACCTGGTGGTCCAGGCTCCAAGCCAGACAAGCTCTGGGTGCACTTGGAGGGAATTAGATCAGGCAGGACAGCTTGTCAAGGTACATGGCACCTTCTCCTCATGCTAGAGTACATGGTCCTAGAGCAGTGGGGGCAGCAAAAACAAAGTTGGTGGGGATATGGGTGAAAGTCCTCCCTAGGAACTAGGAGTCTCAGGAGCAGGAATACCTGGAGCAGGCAGGCATCAAGCCATTTGGCAGAGTTGCCCCAATCCTACCCTCTAGCCACAGCCCTTGATGTCTGCCAGCCACCCCAGGTGGCATTGTTCCTTCTCACTTCTCCACCCTCCTAAGATCTGGGGCCCACTGCTGAGCCAGGAAGCCGGCAGGCAGAATTGGGGCTGCCCGGGTGCTGGGGAACATTCTGTTCCAGAGGCCTCTGGTACCCTGTAGAGGTGGCTCTTGGCACTGAGACCAGGGGGGTGGCAGGAAAGAGCACAGCCTAGAGAGTAGAAAGACTTGAAATCTCATCCTATGAGAATTACTGTGGAAATAATGGCTTTGGGAGGGGGAATATGATGGATGTCTTCAAATATTCAAAGGGCTGATGTGTGTGAGAGGGACTAGCCCTTTCTGGAGCCAAGGGAGGAATAAGGGCCAATGGGCAAAAACCACAGGGAGGCGGGTTCAGCTCTATATAGGGAAGCACTTTCCAGCGATTTGCTACTGCCCAAAGATGGAATGACTGTCCCAAGAGAGGGTGTGCTTCCCATCGCAGCAGATAACCAACAGAGTGAGACAACCATTTAGAGACCATGTGGACAGGGCATCATGGGGTGGGGACTGCTCCAGGCACTCAATATTTCAGGTCCCTTCAGGCCTGAATTCCATGATTGGAATTCCTGGTGGACAAGCCCATGGCACAGCTGAGGAGGCGGGTTGAGGGCCCAGAGCAGCAGGATGCTCTTGGTCATTTGGGCTCAGAGCTATTGGTTGAAGTCCTGGCTCTGCTCTGTACCAAGCTGGCTCGTGGTTAAGTGATTTAACCTATGAGCCTGAGTCCCTCATCAGAAGTAGGATAAGAATCCTTACCACTTCAGAGGGTAGCATAAAAAGTGCTAGCTCAATTTCAATACCCTGACAATGACAGTGGATAGGTTTCTGGGTTTCTTATCTTTTTTTGCACCTAGACCCTTGTATGGCTGAGACAGTCTTCCTTCCTCTCTCTTGGATACTGGAAAACTGAAGCTTAGAGAGAGGAAGGGAGGTGATTTGCCTTCAGGCAGCAGGTTTAGTTTTGCCCCTGCACGTAGCACATCTCCCCAGAGACCCATGTACTCTATGCCTGACATCCCTGGGCAGAAGAGTGAGGGGGTTCACCTGCCTCTTGGGGCCCATTAGAGCCCCCAGAGCCATACGTGGCCCTGGGTGGCCCATAGCAGGAAGTGGGCCGTATTTGTATTCTGATTAATTGTCTCTCCAGTCCTCCACCTCTGCTCCAACGCTGAAGCACCTGGGGCCTTGCTTCTCATAGATACACAAAGAAGCCCACAGTACAGTCCAGGAAGCTGAGTTTGGAAGAAGCTGAGCAGTTCAGCCTGCCAGACTCCCCACGGCTCTGGCCTCCCAGCTGGCACACAAGAGCCTGCCTGGTGGCCAAACATCCCTATCTTTGCTCCTCTCTGCTTCCCCCTGTCTTGCTGCCTGCTGGCCTCCTGGAGGCTGGAGGGGCCACCACTTCCATCCCGTTGGCTCAGTGGCCAGGCAGTCAGCCATGGCACACAGGCTGCCCAGTGTGCCAGCTGGGAAGGAACCCTGGCCAAGCTCTTTGCTTGGATCCAGGCCTATGGCCCCCTTTTTCTATCCCTGGTGTAAAAGAGTGGGCAAAGCTAAGCAATAGGAAGAGAGAGGGACGAGGATCAGGATAGAGAGATTTCCAGACCTTGCTCTGGGCACTCACTAGCTCAGTGGTTTGCAACCTTCTTAATGCCGCAAACCTTTAATACAGTCCAAAGGGGTCGCGACCCACAGGTTGAGAACCGCTGCATTAGCTTCACTACAGAGTTGACCCTGCGCTCCCTAACACTGGCAGCAGGGCTCCAGGACCACATCTGGTCCACATATGCTCATCACTTACTTGCCTGAGGCACTTTGAATGCTTACTAAGTGTTGAGGCCTCCTCCTGTGGGGATGTGAAGTGAGTGTGCCTGCCCCCAAGAGGCTCACAGTCTCCTGAGGGAGGGAGAAGTCACAGTACCCAACTGAAGCTGTGATGGAAGTTGAGGCTGATGTAGCATGCACCAGATATAGGCTAAAGGGATGGAATTCCTGGAGGAAAAGAGACAGCTTCCCAGAAGAAGAGGGGCTGTTGGAAGAATGTTGGCAAGATAACCAAGATATTAATTAAGTGAGGCAGAGAAGAACGGGCACGTCAAAAGCCCAGAGGCATAAAAGCATGAATGAGTTCAAGAATGCTACCTCGGCTGCAGTAGGAAAGTAAGACTTAGAAGGACACATTTGGCCAAGTTGCAGGGAGAGTCACATGGCTGCAAAAAGGGCTTTGGACTGTGCCTTGGGCAGCCGTGAAAGGTTTTCAGCAGGATCAAGGATCACCTCCCTAACAACTACATTGCAGGTGGGTGGGGACAGGCCTTGTGGAGGTAGGGGCTGAACCAGACTGGGAGCACTGGGGCCTCAGCTAAGGCAGGACTGTGGCAGGGATGAGGTGATTGTAGGGAAAGGCCTGGAGAGATGTTGGGAGAAAGAATCAGCCCTGAGGTTGATGGTCCTGGATGACCCCCACGCCCCTCAGTCTGTTTGAGGACACAGATGGAAAACTGAGGACCTGGTGTGTTGTGCTTAGCTGCAAAGTGTTATTTTTTTTTTTCCTTAACTTGACTAAATGGTACACTCACACTATGAACTACTTTGCAGCCATAAAAAAGAGTGACGAAACTTTATGTAGTGATAGGGAATGATTTCCAAGATTTACCATTAAGTGAAAAATGCAAAGTGCAGGGCGGCGCCTGTGGCTCAAAGGAGTAGGGCGCCAGCCTCATATGCCAGAGGTGGTGGGTTCAAACCCAGCCCTGGCCAAAAACT